GACAGGACATCATTTATTAACTCTCTACAATACATTATTCCTGATAAATTGGTGCCTGATGATTCCTGGAACCATTGGCACAAAAATAACACTTCCCCTGACAGGATTCCTGTTTCACAAAAAACTTATGATATGAAGCTGTTGGTGCAGACTTTAAAAATACCCCAAAATTATGGAAAATTGAACAAAAGAATTTTTGTAAAAAGAGTAAGGAACCCAGTTCCCTAATCACCAGATTCAGAACACCTTAGCATTATTAGGAAATGACAAAGTCCAGGTAATTGGCCAGACATGACATAATAAACACTAGGTTCCTAATTAATCCTGGAACTCTGGCACCGGATCAAATCATCAATAATTCAAACACTGGAAATAATTTAACTTCAAGTTAACCAATAGCTTCTAATAAATTATGTAACTTTAGATATTTTTTAAACTGACTATTCCTAATAAATCTCATCTGATCATCTGAACTCTCAGAGTTTATTTCACTCTTCCAAATGTCTAATTAGCTCTATTTGGTATTAAGGTTTGTCAACTCAACATCCCTTACAGGGAGTCCACATAGCTTATAATGTTAGTCAACCCGGCATCCCTTTCAGAGAGTCCACATAGCTAATTATGTTAGTCAACCCGGCATCCCTTTCAGAGAGTCCAAATGGCTAATTATGTTAGTCAACCCGGCATCCCTTTCAGAGAGTCCACATAGCTAATAATGGTAGTCACTCAGCATCCATTACAGAGAGTGCACATAGCTAATAATGGTAGTCACTCAGCATCCATTACAGAGAGTGCACATAGCTAATAATGGTAGTCACTCAGCATCCATTACAGAGAGTGCACATAGCTAAAAACTTTAGTCAACTATGCATTCCTTTCAGAGAGCCTTTGATATTATTGGTCAAAAAATGGCCCATCTGTCCCTTTAAGGTTTGTCATATTGGCATCATTTTCAGGAAATCTATGTTTGAATATTTTTATTTGGTAATTTTATACAGTTTATTATTGACAAGACGACTGATTTAGGTCAGAAATAAGGATAATTAAATACTTATAGATAAAGTCTTATTGAAAAATATAGTCAAATCAGCAATCCTGCTTGACAGATAGACAGGCAGACAGATAGACAGATAGATAGACAGATAGGCAGATAGATAGACAGATAGGCAGATAGACAGATAGATAGACAGATAGATCAGATAACTCACCAGTGGGGGCTCCAGTGGGGGCTCCAGTGGGGGCTCCAGTGGGGCTACAATAGCATTTTCCACCCCTAGAAATATCGGTTTAAATACCCCCACTTCATTTTTAACAATTTAAAAAATTTGATTTTTCTATACATTTTTTCCAAAATACGTGTCAGGATGTGCGGTCCGTTGGAGCCTGCAAACTATGCACTTTCCACATAGCTGCCGCATTTTGAATTCAGTCTGTCACTGTAACTGTCTATCAATCGTAAAGATTCCTGATTTCTGTGATATGGAACCAACAAGTAAATTTCAAAAGACATCATCAAATATTTACTTCCACTAACACAAAGTGCTATCTATATAACAGATAAAATATCAGGAAAAAATAGAATTATTCAAGGGAATCCAATTAGGCAGTTAATTTTTAATGAATACAGCATGTTGATGTATATTCAACCTGAATGTAATGTTTTACCCTCGTGTCCTTACTATGTTTAGGCTTATTGCTAGTGCCAAATTTGCAAAAATAGAAATAACAAATCTAACAAAAAAATTTGTTACACATATTCAAGAATTAATATAAATTTTAATAACTAATACACTTTTAATTTGATAGAGGAATATTAATTAATTAGGCAAACACTTCTGGAATCTTAAAGCCTACAAACCCTTTGCTACCCCCCCAAATATCTCAACAACAATAATTTGGCAATCATTCAAGAAAACATTTTCAAAAACATGTTATTTTTTTAACAATGTCTTTTTTAGAATTATAAGTTCCATCTACATTTGATATAATCTCAAACCCTTCCTTTTCCTTTAAAGGAGTATTCCACTTTTTTTTAAAGAAAGATTTCATTATCAAAAACGTTGAAAATTATACCTGAAAATATTTCTGAGGTATGCTATTTATATCTATGTATGGTATCTACTTGATCAAAATGAATTTGTTTTAAAAGGGTTAATGAGAAACCGAGAGTACTAATTGTTAATTAAGCAGTTTGATCTAGTTTCAGTGTTTGGCTTTATAATGGCTCGATTTATTAGTTAAAACCTTTAGAATATGTAGGAGACATATTTCTCTAAAAGTACGCGTTTATTTTACTCAAATCCGTACAGTGGTTTTCTTGAAAAAAGCATAAAGAACATTAAAAACCTTACACAATGTTTTTAAATATTTTTGGCTGGATTCTTACAGTTAAAACTATCAGATATATTAAAGGGAACATTTCTCTGGATTTTGGTGAATAGTTGTAACAACTTTGAGTAAAAAATTTAAATTGAATTTGTTGATCAGTTAATGAACTAAGAATTGTGATAAACCCAAAAAAATCTCAGATTCCCATTACTATTTTGAAGTTTGTTTTAAAATTTCTAATAAAGTCCTTTCGAATGTATATTTAATGCTTCCACGTTCAGGTACAAATCGAAATATCCCCATGAAATTTGGCTACAAACAATGGTCCCCCTTTTTCTAAATGACTTCATTTCCTAACAGATCAGATGACTGCATTAATGGTTGACAATTTTAGGGGATTTTAGCAACCAAAATGAAATAATGAAATAGATATTCTTGACATTTCCCTAAATTCAAAGCATTTCATGTACCCGAATCGGGTAGTTCATTTTAATCACCTGTAAATTTTGCAATTAACTTTTGGTGCAGATTGCTTTCCGTAAATTTTACCTGTAAATTTCGAAATTTATGATTGAAATTATGGAATAATAACATGGCAACCGATCGATAGATTTGTCATCAAGATCTTTTTTAAATTATTCACAAAATGATGCCAAAAAAGGTGAAAATTTACAAATTTATCAACTTTGGTTCATTTTCAAATTTAATCAATGAAAGTGAAATCCAATAGAGTTTTTTGAATAAAAACATTGTGACAGGTGTTAAACGCATTGACAGTTCTTTTATCGCCAACTACAACAATGAAAATTCAATCTACTGACAGATCCAAAATTCCTCAAAGCTTCTTCAAGTCATCAAAGAGTTAAAATTCATTTAAAAACTTAAAAACAAAGAAATTCTCTCACCTTTCGACCCGTCCATTCTGAACACACTGCAACGTGATAACTTAGCTACGCATGCTCAACTAAATAGTAAACAAAACAACACAGCTGGCTCGTTATGGACAGACATCTCAGACAAAATATATCTTGTCGACAAACATCAAAGAGATTTCGTAATTAGCTACCGTAATAAAGCAATCAATAATTCCGATTGATAGAATGCTAATTTATGCAAATAAGGCCAAATAATTCTATCTATTGGTCTTTTTTTGATAAGAGACAGGATTAACCTACTTTGGATGTAGGCCTTATTGTAATGGAACACTCAGTTTTAATCATTTTTCAAATTCAAAATCAATCAACAATGACAAATTTAAAGGTGAAAATGTAATTAGTCACAAAAGCCGTAATGCCCTGATTCTAAACTTTGCTACCTCTGGGGGTTACCATATTGAACACAACTGGTAGTATCATTAAGTACATCTAGGGGAGTCATCAAGCACAATTGGCGGTACCATCGAGTGCCACTGTGGGTACCGGTACCATCAAGCCAAACTGACAGTATCATCAAGCACAATTGGGGGTACCATCGAGTGCTACTGGGGGTACCATCGAGCAAAACTGACGGTAATATCGAGCACAACCGGGAGTACCATCGAGCAAAACTGACGGTAATATCGAGCACAACTGCGAGTACCATCAATTACAATTAATATTATTACAATCGATCCTAACTGAGGGTACCCGTACCATCTAGTACAATTGGGGGTACCATTGACTACAACTCGGGTAAATCGGGCATGACTGGGACGTACCACAGAGCAAAACAGAGCGTACTATCGGGCATAACTGGGGATGGCAACTAAAGGTTTTTGTCCAGGACAACTAAGGATACCACAACTACATTTCTCCGCCCTAATTTCAATGGATAAACTTAAAACATAGCTTCTACTTGCACCATTCACGCTACATCGATTTTGAGGATGTGTCATCGTGATCTGATCAAATTTTTCTAGCCCCCCCCCCCCCCCATTGAGTCAGTCTGCCCCCTATTTGTACCTCCTGTTTCGTAAGGCTGGCCCCCAATGACAATTCTGTGGCCGCTTCTCGGCCCTTCTGATTCATCAAATCGTCACTGGACCAACATTGAATTGAGCTAAAGAAGAAGGCAAGAGTGTTTACACCCAAATGACTGAATACAATTAAATATTCCTTGTTGTTAGAAACTAAACAATGAATTAACATGTGTCGGTGATTTAATAATATATTTAACAGTATCGAGTCGATAATTCATTATAAATATGCTAATTACAATAACTAGCAGGACTATATTAAATGGTACACAAACTAAATCTTTAAAATACGTGTCTTTCCAACCAGCCTGCTTCGTACGTTTTCTGTTCTCTGTTTAACTCTATTTTTGGGGGTATTCTAATTAGAAGTGGACCCCTGAAACATAATCCCAAATCTTTTTTTCATATGAGTCCTTTCAATAAAACTACCAATTCTGCCACCTGTGCTTTTAAAATTTGTTGCCAATTGCATCTTACACTCATTTTGCTAAATGAGTTCCATAATTCTCAAGTCTATGTGATTTCCTCTTTATAGTTATATTATAACATTTTAAGAAAGGAGATTACATTTCAATTTGAAGATCAGTTTCTAGTCGATTGAAGAGTAATTTAAAACAGTAAGCCCACATTGTCGGTAAGAGTCAATATACCCTACGGTACATTATTCCCAGCTCTCCCCTACTGATAAATTGACAGAATAGGGGAGACAACTCCATTTAATTTACTCACTAGGAGACAGCACTGTTTGACGCAAGCTCATTCCTATCAAACAAACAAGCATGGCTCAGATCATAGTCTTGAGTAAGTTAGAATTCGTCTAAATCAATCGTAAGATGTTTCTTTATTGACTCTCAGACCTTCCCTAATCGTACCTTTATTTCTTTTCAGATCAGAATACCAGACGAGAATCCGGCCGAAAGGTCCAACTCGGAAATATCGGCGCTGGAAAGGTGAGTCGCGTGTTATTTCTGGCCGTCGCCATTATTTTCTTCTGGAAGATTCTTGTCAAAATCTTAGCTGAATGAAGGAATTCTGAGTTTCAAGACATTTACGCCCTCTGAAAGGACATTTGTCCATTGTCTATTGGAAGGTCGTAGCATATTTTGTGTGATCAGACATGGATGGAAAAATGACTATAGATTGAGAGTAACATGATCCATTTTATCTGCAAAAAAGGTGGGGGTGAGGGATTATTTGAATGACTGACCAGGCTACAGTACAGGTCTAGACACCTCATCTAGTTCAGCGGTCCTGATGATAGTTAGCTTGCCCAGAATGTTATGTTTGAAGATAATTTCTTTGATTAATCTAATTATGGCAGATTTGCAGAGGGATTCATGCACAAACAGGTGACAAGATGGACCTTTTTCTTGAGGCTAAATTTATCAGTGAAATTCAGGCGAAGTTCTTCGGTTTATTTCATAACCGAGTAGATGAATTATACAATTAAAAGATGGCGTGTAAATCAAATATTCTAGACAAGCTGTATTATAATATTCTGAAAAACATGAGTCATGGAAGAATCTGTCATCATGGGAGATAACCCTGTCAACTTTCATTCATTATGGTTAATGAGAAAATAACCACAAACACAAGGCAATATTATGGAATAAGCACACTTCTTTCATAAAACTTCATTTCATCTGATGTCGACACGTGTAATTTCTGTTGAAATGTTATGTGTTCCTGTGCTTATTCCATGATATTGTCTTGTGTTTGCCCTTCAAGTTGTAGAGTAAATAACCAGTTACCAAAATATCATGTGGCAATTCACCTCTTCCCAAGTTACATGGCACTTTTCAGTACATTTGTCAGAGGTGACCTCAAGCAAAGATATATTTGTGCATTTGACATGTGCAGTCAAATGGAATCAGGACAACCCTACTGCTTTTTTTGGAGACCCAGACCACTTTTCATCACACTTGGGACCACCAAAGTGCTGTCTGTTTAACATTGGTCTGAGTATGAGTTGCCTTTAGCTTAGTACTTTTAATTTGTTCAGAAAAAAAAGGTGGTCCAAGTTTGCAATGTCATTGGTCTGAGTCTCAAAAAAAGTGGACTGAGTCTGTAATGAAAAGTGATCCGAGTTTTCATGTATTCAGTCAAATATATTTATAGGTAGTGTTAGTAATTACGTACAGAATAAGTCTGGCTTGTTTGGTTTCAAATTTTATTTGTTCTACCCATAAACTAAATGGACTGATCATGGTTATGGTTTGAACCAGACCCAGATGCGCCAATATAGTTTTGCAGGACTTATCTATTTATAAAAAATACCGACAAATATTCTCTTTTATTTAGGATGCAGCATTTATGAACTTTTGAAGTGATGAAAGTACTAATATTAAACTATTTTGTATTTTAGGCTATAGCTGATGTTATAAGAACATGTCTTGGACCAAGAGCTATGTTGAAGGTGAGTGAAATAATTTTGAAAAATAGGTGATTTATCTTAACAATATGACAGTTATTTACTGGTTCAATCTCCACCAGACTGTCACTTTTGAGACTAAAATTATTCCTTTTGGAAAATATGAATGGTGCTACTTAAAGTGATAGCACCAATTTGCACCTTTCCAATTTTCAATCAGCCGTCTGTGGTTCCTGCGTTTATTTCACAGCAAGTGTTTGATGACGTCGCTTATCGCAAAATATGCTTAATAACATTGGGTCTTCGTGATTAGCAACATTATCAAACACTTAGTTATAGTTGAATGGCAGGAACCAAAGACGACTGATTGCAAACTGGAATGGTGCACATCAATGCTATCAGTGGTACTGATACACATAAGTTAGAAAATTTAGAAAACCTCTTTACAATCCCTTTAATTGTACTAGTGACATACAAAGACTGGAAAATCTATAAAATCCTATTGAGCATATGAAGATTTTAATAGAACCCCTGGTTTGGCCTACATTAACGTGTCTGGCCAGCTTTTCTTTCCTTTAAAAACATAAAACACATTCACCATGAAAGTTTAAACCATAGAAATATTGATTATATTGATTATTCATTAGTGATCAAATATTCAAAATAGTCATCAACCATCAAGGGAATCTATCCTCCCATTGTAATATGTTATGGTTTGCCAAGTTATTGCCCTTGATTTGCTAAACATTCAGTCCTGATTGTAAATGAAAAATGAAATGAATGAGTTATACGCCCTATATTTCTGCTCCATGTGGGCTAATGAAGATGGGCAATGCCATGCAGGGTGCAATGAGGGAAATATTTTGCCAGGAAAGTGTCATTAGCCTGCTTTTTTTCGATTCCCAACTATTGAGGGATCTTTAACGTGCACAGCCTGTAGTACACAGGGCCTCAATTTATTTCCCCATCTGAACGACTTGACGTTAGTCTCGCCCCGACCTGCATCACTTACAGGGGGAAACTGGGCTGAAATACTAAAGGTATCATCTCAACCTTATTGTAGACACTGCATTTAAAACATGATATACAATTTCTGAAGAATAAGACAATGATGTTATTGATTGATTATTGATTTTTAATTAGTGATCAATCAAAAATGCAAAACAATGATCACTGATAGAAACTAGAAAAAGGCAATGTCCTCGTACTATTTCTAGATTTCAAGATCAATGGAACAGAGTTTTGTCGGCAAAAATACAAATGAATCATGTCTACGAAAAACTGAATCAAACTTCCAGAAATAAATCTAATATGGCACTTTCAGGCAAATAGGTTGATTACTATTCTTCAACCTATCAATTTAATAATTCTTCAATTGCATATTAGAAGCACAACTTATAGATAAATAAGACAACTATATGGATATATACTTCTGGAATATTTATTACTTTTACGTTTCAATGTGGTTCTCACATCATCAGGAATATTGATACAAACACGTAACTAGAAAATATATAGGCAACAACAATAGCAACTACAATGTATAAAACAAAGGTACAAGATATGAAGCCATACTGTGGATTAACTAATTAATTTAAGATCTTGAGTTTATTTTTAAAAAAAAATTTAATGAATGTAAGCTTAATTTTTTGAACTGTACAGGAAACTATTTTGTCTGAGTGATGTATTAAGCTTGAGCTCTATTATTATATATTCTATGGATGTAGTCAATTTATCTAAATATGATAATAAATGACTTGAAGCACTATCTGAAGATGAAGTGTATCAAACTGATATTATACTGATTATAATATATAAATATATATTGATACTTGTTTCACTTATAAACTTCATTTCAATTCATTTTAAGTACAGCTTGATTTGGACAGGCTTGATTTCAGCTTTATCAGTTCAACAAAAACAGACAGAGTTAGACATTAATCATTTCTACATTATTAACTTTTCACATAAATATTTCTATACATATTCTATCAATATGGTGACATTGTTATAATATTGTCATGTATGTTAAAATGACCTGAATGAGAAGGCAGTCTAGATGGAACGCAAGACATTTATTCAATTAACTATGCAGATATAAGATTTAAAGGACAATTAGTAGAGGGGAGTATATATCACTAATACAAGACAATATTATATAATAAAACACACTTCTTTAATAATATATTAAACTAATAACGTTTCAACACAAATTACATGTGTCGTCATCAGATGAAAAAATGTACTGTATATTGTGGAATAAGATTTTTAGAATTAATGAGTATATCACAAATACAAGATATTATTATATAATAAAAAACATTTCTTTAATAACAAAGTACATAACGTGTCGTCATCAGAAAAGATGTACTGTATATTGTACACTAATGTGTCTTCATCAGATAACAACAGGTGTAAAAAGTTTTGAAAGATTATGTTCCTATTTGTATTTGAGAAGTGTGATTATTCCATAATATTGTCTTGTTATTGATAACTGTGCTGATTTATAAAATTGAAAGCATGTTGATATTGCTGTAATTAGGCAGTCTAAACTTCAGAACCTGAAAGTACAGAATCAGAATCTGGTTCCTGATTCTGAATAGTGATACAGCCAGCTCATATTAAACACTATTCCTTTAACTGTGTAGATTTTTAACAATGAAAACAAGCCGATACAGGTGAATCTTGCCTCTTGATTGTTGTGTATGTTAAGAAGTAGTGACTGGTGTGGTGCCAGACAGGGTATGTTTACCCCTCTAGACACCTGATACCACTTTTCATTATGAAATACTTCTTCACTTATGATTGATATACTTCTTCAAGTAAAAAGTTCATTAGCTGCGACCAATGTTTGGCCAAAATGTTGTTTTGGATTTTGGGTTTAGTTTTGTGGTTAGGATTGTTAGTACTTGGTTTATTATATGCTGATTATAATATAATATAAACTAAGATATAATCATCAGATGTTACATTGTATCACAAATTATATCTATTAAAATATCACAGTTATATGTTATATAGGACTGTTTTTATATCAACCAGCCAAGCAATGGGAATATAACTGTCAGGGCCATAGATACTACATATAGGCAGGTTCCTCATGGTCAATTTGACATAAAAAAAGAGGGAATTATTTTGTTTAAAACATTTAGAATGTAAATACCTTCTTCTGACTCTATGGTCAATTTGGTTAAATTAGATATTCCCAGGACCCTTGCCCAAAAATTTTTCGACTCCCTTTAAGGAATTTAACTTGTCAGTCACAACCCGTAATCCATCTACATTGTCAAATTACATGTATATGACAATTATCTTAGACTGCTGTGTTAATAAATCGGTAAATTGAGCGAATGGAATAAACATGTCACTTCCAACCAGACTTTCTAAACCAAAATCCATCTACAGTCAGATTCTATCTATATCACATCAATATTAGTCATATTCTGCAGTGTTTTAATATTGATTAGCAAAACAAGAATATAAAACTCTAAAGTCTGACCATGCTTTCTAAAATTACATAATAAGAGTATATCAACCATTCCAATCATGGTTTTTAAATTCAGAATCTATTGACAGTCAGATGACATGTATATCTTACAATATGTCATGTGTATGGATGTGGTCAATACTGCTGTATATCAGTTGACCGAGCTAACATGTAACATATGTCAATAGGAACAGCATGTCTAAATCATTTCCACAGGAATCTGATTCTCTAATTCTAATCTGGAGTAAAGTCTACAACTGGAAAGTCACACCAATCCAAAAATACATACAATTCTTTCAACTCTTTTAATGGATAACAGTAGGCAGAATATTAGAATGAACTATAAAATGGAAAACTAAACCCCCCAAAACATGCATCAGTTCAATTAAGAAACCTTACACTGGTGTTATATTTTGGCAGAATAACACTAGTCAATACAAAAATGGAAAACCAAACCATCCATAATATGCATTAGTTCATTCAAGATACTGCTTACTCTTGGTATATTTGGCAGAATAAGTTGTCTTACCTTGTCTACGACGTTTAAAACATCCAATCATTATGTCTATGAGGTCGGTAAATCCGTTATCGAATCTTATAGAATGTAAATAGAACAGAATCAATCACTACAACCCACATCGTTGCAAGCTGGAAATTTTTATCTCACTCCAAACAACTATTTATAACTAATAGTCTAGTCTATTTTAGTTAAAATTACACACATTAAATACACTTCTATCAGGAATGTTGTGTTGAATTCACCAGTCATGGCTGACTGTATCTGACTAGAACCACATATAGCTATTAATAGTCTCACCTATAGCTATTAATAGTCTATTTTAGTTAAAATAACATGCATTAGATACAGGAGTGTTGTGTTGATTGTATTTACCAGTCATGTCTGACTAAAGCTCTTGGCTGTCGATTTGACTGTATCACATGAGAACCAATTTGACTCAATAAGGGCTAGAGTTTTAATCCTGTTTTAATCTAACAATAATTGGTGTGTATATTCCAGTTTTGTTTTCATGAATCCAAGGTTTATTGCACTGTTTACACCTAACTTTGACAAACAAAAAAAGAGTGTATCACTGAACTATGTTGTACAATGTATTAGGTACTATATATTAGTGATATAATATATTGTTACACTAAGTGATATAATAGTAATATTATAGGGGAGCAGGTTAGTAACAGTAATACATTATGACATTATTAATACATCACTTTCAACTGGTCTATTAGACTGATATTGTTTTATATTGTATATTAATTGACTACAAATAGGATATTTGGGTTTACAGAGCAGTGCTTCTCAACAGGGGAAGAATGCTGTCCAAAAGGAGGATTTGGAAGACCCTGGAGGAATTATCATAAAAGGGTGGGGGTTAATCATCGAACCGGGGAGTATATGGGAGGCAAGGTGATCTATGACTGAAATTGATGCCCTTCACCCCGGACATATAGGAAATCATGAGCGAAGATTCAGCCCCATATCACATTGAACTATCTGTATATGTGGAGTCTGATTTTATATCCATTCATGGTTAATTGTTGA